AAGATGCTGCGATAATGTTTGAGGATTTAATCTGAAGTAATTTTGCGGATGGTGACTAACAGTGGAATCCAGGACAACGCGGATTTCGTCCAGTTTAGGACTCATCATCTAGATGGACCTTTACAAGATGCGGCTATCGTAGCCCAAGTGGTCAAGTGGCGCTTTGGGGTTTGATACTATGAGTACTGGGTTCTAGCCTTGGTGGGGACATCATCACTCACTGCTGAGTGCAGATACATCTAGATGACGAGTCCCAAATGAGTGGAAATGCGCATCCTGGATTCCACTGCTAGTCACTATCCACCAATTAACTTCTAATTACATACCCAGACATCGTTGAAGCATCTGCACATGAAGCGGACATGTCAGCCCTTGGACCGAACACTTCGGTCCAGTTAACCAACGACAACATCTAAAATTGAATTAAAGAACGAAGTCTGTTTGAAACATTTTAAACTTAATCCATTCGTCTTTCACTTTAAACTACTTAATCACACAAGAAAAATGTCTTCTTCAGTATCCTAATTATTTATCACAGATATCAAGAGATGTAAACGACTTGAAAGGGAAGTCATTGAAATGAAGATATAATAGAAACCCTTTAATATTCCTATGACGTCTAATCTTCCTATATTAAGTCGTACACATAATGCTTTAATCATAAAGTCTTTAACTGAAGAAATTATTCAAAGCCAAGTCTTTGAGTAAAAATGAATTGTCGCAAGTCTACAAATGCGCCATGGTTATGAGTGCCAACAATCACGAAATCTACGTTTGGAAGATCCTGACGACAAAGTTTTAACATGCTTCTATATTAAATAAGTTTATCTGATATAACATACATAGATGCACTATAAGTAAGTAGATGACATTCAAGTACTCATAATGATACCAATGTATTCCCTCCCAGGTTTTCATTGGCTGATATATAAACCTTCACTCGGTCCTGTTAATTATTTAGGTTTCATATATGCACAGGAGATGTGGTGCCTTATTTAGATAGAACATTTCTTCTGTTGATCGGTGAAAAAGTGATTCAATGATTAAGCACTCTTTCCACCGACCTAAATATCTTTTCATTACTTTTGCGCTTTTCTATCCTTTTGTGTTATTATACTCAAGAGAGATCCTTGCGATGTCCAGTCTATTTTACATTATTATTACTATTGTCGTCATCACCACCGTTCACTTGAGTTTCGAGAAGACCATGAGGCTTCAAAATCATATCTCTACTTCGTCCTACTCTTTACAGTCTTCTCTAGCTAGCTTCATGGTTGCCTAGAGTTCCTTATCTTGTCCTCGCACAATCTCCTCCATGTACTTCTTAGACACCCCACTCATCGTTTCCCATTCAGTTTTCACTCAAAAGAAGGCCTACATTGCACGCAATATCATTTGATGATCTCACCCAACGTGTATTCTATCCATTTCCATTACATTTGTTGAGCAACAGGTTCTTGTTCTCGATGTTTAACATGTGCCTATCATATACTAAACATTTTTCTGTAACACAGAACACTATTCAAAAAATATGAGTTGAACTCAATTTTCAGTTATAAAGCTATGTGGTTAAGTGTAGCAGTCCTCCTAAAACGCACCTTAGAAATTCAAAGAAACTACGAAGAAAAATATGGCGAATAATGAGAATGTAATGAGTTTGGGAAATCACAAAGAGTAAGTAGGTTTTCTCCGTTAAGCCATTTCACGAGTGAATTTATACTGATTCCTAGATTCCTGACGACCTCAACAAGCAGTCTACATCTCCCCTTAATTAGCTCAAGCGACTAGTCAAGTACCTCATAAATGTGTGTTATATTCACAGTACGATACTCCCAGTTCTTTTTCACATAAATCAAACCTTACCTAATATCGCTCCTCAAGAAATGTGATATGTCGGAATTATTATTATTATTATTATATCCTTTAATTCCCAGAGGAACATAGGGCTTCAGCTGCGCGTCTCCATTGCCTTCCCTTCTCTGCCAACTTCTTCACTCCGCTCCAAGTCTGCTCACATGCTTCCATCTCCTCTTCACATCACCTCCTCCAAGTCACCCTCGCACTGACGACCAACTTGCCGCCCGCTTCCCTTTCGGGTTCCACTCGAGCAATGGCTTGTCTAGTGATGTCACTTGATGGTTTGTTTTCTCAGAGTATGGCCAGCGAATCCATCTCCATTTCTTCCTGCCTATTTGTTTCACAATCGGTTCTCTCTGGGTTGGTTCGCTCCCAGAGATCTTTGTTGCTGATCTTTTCTGGCCGGCTATCTGGTCTTCAGTGGTATTGAGCGAAGACAACTGTTAATGAAGGTCTGAAGTTTGTTTGAGATGCTCTTTATGACGCGCAGTGCAAGTCTCTGGTCCGTATAGTAGCACTGACTGACTTCACATTGGAGTTGAAAATCCGGATCTTATTTTTCATGCTGAGTGCTGAGGGTTGACCTCCACATAGACTTGAGAGTAGTGAAAGCTTGTATTACTTTTGCGATCCTCGCTGCTTTGATATTCTCGTCAGTTCCGTCCATCTGTAGTTGAAACGATGCTTCCCTGACCTTCGTTGCCGTTGGTGACATCATGATAGCCACGCCCTCGGTGTGCGTGTGGTTATCTTCTGGGTGACCGGAGTTGATCACTGACTCACCCGTTGACAATTTGCTGAGTCCATTCCCGTTCCATCTACTTTCACATATTCCCAGTACTTGGATTCCGTATCTTTCCATCTCGTTTGCGATCTGGGCAGCTTTTACAATCTCGTACATGGTGCTGACATTCCATATCCCCACACAGACTTTTTATTTTGGTGCGAAGAGATTCATCGTGCTGAAGTTTCTGTAGCAACTTTGTTTACATGGTAGGGTTGCTAGCCTCATGCCTGAGAAAGGAATTGTTACATTAAGATAAAGTTTAGAGAGAATCGACCTTTTGGGTTGCTTCCCTTAAAATCGGAAAACAACGGACAAAACAATCAGAACAACACCAACAAAAGGAAAATAATTCACAGCAAAAAGGGCAACAAGCGACAACAACAATACAATACAACAACATGCAATACAGTTAAGCACAGTTAACTAAAATAATATCAAAACGATAGACTCACTGACTTGGGCCAACTTGAACATATAAATCCAACAATATATATAATTATAGATATGTTAGTGTTAAAAGGTCACAAAATGTCAAAAAAAAACTTTGTTACAGGTATAAGTAGTCAGTGATATTATATCAATAGGTTCGGTGTTCGAAAGTAGACAGATTGTAATAAATTCCAGAACTTCGTAGTGAGATACAACAAAGAAATTAGAGTTTTATATATATCAGCGAAAACGTAGTCGATGAGAATTCAAAACCTTATCGATTGACGTTTTTTCTTCTTTTTAACATAAAAAAACTCTACATCTAACCTCATTATTATTAATAAGACGAGAGAGCGAATACGCGTATCTGTGATTCATCACTTCTGTCCACTTTATGTCTACCACTTGCAGTGGTCACATTTCAAAGACGTAATGAAAGATCAGGTGGCCTGTTGCACAATACACATGTTATTCAATGTCATTTACAATCAGCCAGAGACACTATCAGACATTACCATATTTACGAGATATTTCCAATGAATACATGGATGTATCAATAAAAATTGCTTTTTTGTTTCGCTGGTAGCAACTGGTATTGGGACTCGTCAGCTGAATGTGCCTGCATTTAGAGTGTGTTGTGTTGAAACGTCCTCCAAGGGAGAGGGCACTCGAGTGGTTGCTTCACAGGATGATCCTGCATGCCGGTCTCGTCTCGCAAGAGACAGGGTTGGGTGTGTTTGGTTCTCCTGAAAACCAATATCCAGTCAATGGGTGTATCACTGTGTATGCATCGGTGGCGAAGCGGTTAGGACGTACGCCGACCATGCACATGGTCCTAGGTTCAATCCCCGGCCGACCCACTTCTTTACCTCGCTAAGCCAGAAATAATGCTGGTAAAGAGGGGCATGGGGCTAGCAACCCCATCCTGTATAAACACAAAACACTTCTACAGAAACTTCAAGGCACTAGCTTGACGCCCTATGTTCCACTGATGGACGTGAAGGAAAAATTATTATTTAAAATTATTGTGTTGAAACGTGAACTCTCTACCTGTTGTTTCAAACTTCCTTACGAGGGGTAAGTCAACAGGACAGCAGAGACTGATGATTTTGGTTCAAAATAGTCAATCAACGGAGAATACAAGGATTCGGCCTTATTGAAAGGCATTGCTAACAGAATCCTCAAGACATAGTACAGACATCATTTTCATCCAATCCACTGAAGAGCACTTACATGTACAACAGTAATCACCTGATACGTATCTCCATTAAATGGGTCAATGTTGAAGTAAGTACAAAGCAGTAAAAGAAACTAGGTAATTTACATAATTATTTGTCTAATATGAAGACTGCAAATAATAATTTGTCTTCCATTATACATACATCTATCTCTACCCTTATCATACTACTAATTACTAGTCGTCAAATTGGAATTTTTTAAAAAGGATGTATGTATAATGTTATGTGTGTAATATGCGTTAATGATTGGTCAAATATAACTGAAATAAACTACTATTGTAGTACGCGAACAATTCGTCACTTTTCATCACCCATAAAATCATCATCCTATGTTGAACAAACAACGATAACAGAATAAAGTAAAATAGGCGAATAAAGTACAGTACACAGTTAAAGTGACATATAAACAATCTCTCTCACTTTTACTCTCCGACTACCTACCTCCCTCACTTACATCCTCATTCGTATACTCTCTCACTGATTATTATTATTACTATTTTATATGAATTATAAAAATTAAATGCTAAGTAATATTGTAAATTCTAATAAATTCTACATTAGACGTTTGTGCTATTATTATAATAATATTCAGTCAAATTTTATGTCATCAATAGTATCATTATTATTGTTGCAAATCCATTGAACATTTAACGCATATTTTTAATGTATAATACATAATTCTCGCTTTAATGCAATTCAGTGGATTCAATCAATTATTTAATATTATTTCATATTGGAATTTAAATCATTGGCGAAATATCATCATTTTCTTGGTCAATTTAACATCAGTCTGCAATGTTGTAGTGAGTTTAGGTACAGGATATAATGTAGCTGTGAAGTATAATCGTCCATATTCTAGATGGGTGAGTTATTCAAATTCAATGTTTTTAAAAATTATCTTGCCTCGTTTATCTGTAATGTGTGTGTGTGTGTCGATGGTAGAGTGGTAGAATGCTTGCCAATCACATATGTGGTCTGTGGTCTAGTCCCCGGCCGATGCACTCCCTTACCCGGCTAAGCCAGTAATAAGACTGGTAAAGAGGGAAGGTTGGACATGAGGCTAGCTGGTGAAACTTCAAGCCCGTAGCTTGAAGCTCTATGTTCCATTGGAAACAAAAAGGAATAAACAAAACTTATCTATAATGAAAAAAAAATGAAACAGTCAGCTGTTTCTACTCTCTTCTCAAGAAGTCTGTTCAGAGGAGTACGTCTTGATTCAAGCATTTTGTACACTGACATAACTAGTTGTTTGAAAAAATAAGGTGGAGTTGTTTGTTCAAAAGCAGTTCTACAATTCAGTATTAATGTTACAGTTTTACTAGAGGCATAACTGATAACAGGCGTAGTGAGGCTCTATTAAACTTTCACTCAGAAGGCTATGACTGTGATAATTTTATAGGATGTTTCCATTAAGATGGTAAAGGGATCTTTTGTTAAGTACATAGTATTGTTGGATATTCAAACAGGTGGATTTTATGTTTCTTTTTTTTGTATCAGTTTACATTGTCATTTAATATGCTTGTTACATATCTGAAGGTCCAATATGAGTAGCAATATTGCCCCTAGGGATCTGGCAACTAATCTATCACTGGATAGTAAGTAATATCACTTTATCCAGTCGTAATTGTTTACGGAATTTACGGGAATATATCTTGTAATTTGATTGCTGAAATAAATGGTATAGCGACAGGAAATTACATAGCATCCAACATCTGATATTCTTCTTATCCATTAGAAGATTTGGTCAAGGATTATTCTCCTCGGTAATTTCCTCTTCTGGCTGCACAAAATATATATTTATATATATATACACACACCCCAGTGGGTGCGTACTGCTAATGATTCATAAATTAGGATGAAACAGTTGTCCAGTACTTCAGTGCAGGTTTTCAGTGGTTCTCTTATTTTTTTTTCCTTCACGTTCCCCAGTGGAACATATGGCTTCAAGCTAGTGGCTTGAAGTTTCTGTAGCAGTGTTTATTTCTACAGGATGGGGTTGCTAGCTAACCTCATGCCCAACCTTTCCTCTTTACCAGCATTATTTTTGGCTTAGTGAAGTAAATGATTGCGTCTGTGGTCGGGAATCGAACCCCGGACCATGTGAATGGTCGGCGAGCACCCTAACCGCTCTAACCGATATCAATCCTTGGTCTAACTCTTAAAACAAATCAAATCCTTACAAATAAGATCTTAAAATGTATGTATATATGGTGGAGAAGATTTATAGCTTAGGTGGATGATTTTGATGTAGTTATGTTCTCTTAGCTGGATTGTAGGCCAATGAAAGCTTCTCAGATAGACCATCCAGCTAGCTCAGAGAACACAATTACATCAAAATATTTATATGTACACAGATGATTCTAGAATAATCTTCTTTAAGAATATTGAAAAGAATATTCTTGAATCAAATTTTTATTTGTCTTCTAATTGTTTGAATCAATACTTTCGCTAAATCAGAGGACTACTACTCTCTTGAATATTTCGACCTTTCAGTTAACTCAGTAATACAGTTATTAAAATCATTACTCATCTGTTATTAGTGACTGGTTTTGAAATAAATTTACCGGAGTTCCAATGATAAGATATTAACAGTGGTGTTCAGAAAATCAAATGCGAGGAGGGTAAATGCTGTCGGCTAAGCTGATTGAAAGTAAAGGATCAGAACCTTTCTTTTTCCTTCACGTTCCCAGTGGAACATAGGGCTCCAAGCTAGTGGCTTGAAGTTTCTGTAGCAGTGTTTATTTTTATAGGATAGGCTTGCTAGCCTCATGCCCAACCTTTCCTCTTTACCAGCATATTTTCTGGCTTAGCGAGGTAAATGAGTGCGTCTGTGGCCGGGGATCGAACCTCGGATCATATGCATGGTCGGCGAGCGTCCTAACCGCTGTACCACCGATGCACTACCAACCCCTTTAGTGTTTTTCATAATTGTTGATGTTTATTATGTAAAAGTGCACAAGATTAATAATGTGTTGCTATTTGATTTGAAAGACGTGACCCTCTATGGAACAGCCTTATTGTTGTTCATTAGGTAGTACTCTGAACGCCGAGACTTCGGGAAGTCCTCCATCTGATTTGCCACTGTAAAGCTTTTATATTTTGTGAAAAATTTTCAGCAAAGTTTACTTGTTGAACGATATTTTCTCTTCATCCGGGACTTTCAGATAAAATATCAACTGAGAGTAGACGTTGTGAAACACTTCTGCCTGAAGTGAAGCTAAAAACAAGAAATTATGGTGTCTCTTCTTTGTCTTCTTCGGTAAATGCTTGTAATTTGGTTGACTGATAATTAGAAAAGGTTCAGGAATCCATTCTGTGAACCAAACGACACAACTCATGAACAGCTAACTCCTACATTGTAATACGCACCAACCCATGATTATGTTTTTTCTCACGATATCTAGAAACTTGCTAATAAGCAAGTTATAAACACATTACATACTCGCCATGGTATAAGACGTAGTTAAAGACCATATTTTATCGGATTTTCACAAAGTGAACGTGAGAAAATATCTGTGAAATATTGCAATGGATTTTTCCGTATCCCAAATTTAAACAGGCCTCCCGTATTGACTCTTATTCACAAGCCACGGAGTAAAATGACTAAACAAGGTTGATCACTTCACTTATCTAGAAAGATGTAGCAGCGACATCTGAATAACTGCTGAAAACATTCCAACATAGATGTAGAAGGCCATTTCAACTCCCACCAACTTTTGCCATCTTTAGCACAGGTGAGATAACTGATTATTCAGCAAAGAACATGCGAACTATGAAGCACTTCATCCCATCATTCTTTTTAGTTGTGTGACATGGCTACTGAAAGTGGAAGAAATGCAAATACTAGCAGTCTTTGACCAAATGCATCTGTCTAGAATATCATTTGTTAGGTGACGAAGTGTAGTCAGTAGTAATGAGGTCAGGAATAAAGTGTTGTATCGATTAGTTTGTGGAATTTTGCCGATAGAGTTGGCCAGGACTTGTGCTACTCAAGCTGAGATACAACCTTCCCTGGCCAGTATTGTTATCTGATATGAGATTAGACTGGAAGAGATTTCTAGCTGGTCAGACTAAAACGTGACACCAATCCATTAAGTATTTGATTGGTGTTTGAGACACTGAGGAAGGTGTAGTTTACATAGCTAGGATTAACATTATGCCATGAACCGAATGTTGGGGATTTTTGTTGACATGGCTTTGATGTATCAACTACTTCATATCATCCCCTTTCTCAAAATCCTGATTAATTCTCATCCACTTTAGTGTTTCTCCTGTGTATCACTGCTGACTGAAGATTCATTACAGTTGCATTCTCTACTTCTGTTTGTACTTCTTTGAACTTCCACAACTTAAACTGCTAAGCTTTTGTTCAAACTATGCTTTGATACATCGGTTCAGGTTCATCTATTGTTCTAATTACCACTAAGTTTTATGTTTGAAATTTTGTTTCCAAAGTTTAAATTTAAATTCTCACAAAAATTAACTACTATGCAATTGATTTACACTATGTCGTTCTAAATTAGCTTGTCACCAATAACTCTACACTTAAATATCTAATCTTTTTCTCAGTAATTTATCGAAAGTATACCAGTGAATAGTAATAATTTATAAAATTTGAGGATACAGAATGGAAGAAACCTTATCACAGATATCTGTATAAAAATCGAAAGTTGGAATATTTTTTTATATTTTTGATTACAGCTTGATTCCACACTGTATTTTTGATACAAGTATGGAATTTTCAGCATGGATATCGGTTGCCCAAATTTTGCAGGCCGACCATAGATATCAGGTGTGCGTCGGCAGGGGATCGAACCTCTAACTATGTGCATGGTTGGCGAGAGTCCTAACCACTGTGCCACCGACGCACCAGTCCAGTTTGCTCGTACAATTAGTTTGTAGTAGTCACAGGTTACCAAAGTAGTACATTAACTTTGACACAGTAACTTTGTCAAGTTTTCAATGTCAGTATCAGTATCAATCGACAAATCCACAGATACATAATAATCAACTCAAACTAAAATATGTTCTACCATAGTTATTTTCGATTCAACTATTACGTCACTTAAACTACAGATGTTGAGAAACATTTGTGAACATTTCATACGAAAATTTCAACTGAGTCGTTCTGCAACTAGGTACTTGACCCTTTCATTCCCTCCTTATCGTCCAGACTGGAACATAAGGCTTCTTTTTTTTGAAATTGCAGTCGCGGTGGTGTTGTTCTCACTGTCAGCTAGCTGAGGCTTAGCAGTGCATCAGTCAACAGTCGAACTAGGACCAAGTAGATGGTTGGCGGGCATTCTAATATTTAATCACCATCACATTGTCAGGGACACCCGATATTTCCAGACGTTCCCCCATGCAAATATTTACTTAACTCAACGCTGCTTAAATTCAGTGATCGGATGAAAACTGGTGTTAGATATGGTAGAGAAGATATGTAGCTCAGGCGGATGATTTTGATGTGTTTGTGTTCTCTGAGCAGGATGGGTGATTTGCGAAGCTTTCATCGCCTTACTAGGTGACATCTTCAGCCCACAATTCAATTCGATGAAGTGAGCTTTTAGATTTCTCCACGAGTTTATCAGTCATCTCTCCTGGTCGGTGACCTTGGACGTCATTGGTTGTTTGTGTGTGTTACTAGGTCACTTTTATTGGAACTGATTGTTTCTTTGACTTCAACTTTGACCCTTTGTGTGTGAAGTTTCTTTCTTATTGGTTGATAAATTTTGTCTATCTCGATGTGTCTATTGATTGATGATTCACTGGAATGCCAAGCTTCTAAAAATTCCCTAGCATTCTTGTTATTTCCTTTGTCTAATATTTGAACGTTGTCCCAGTCGAATTGATGCCACTGCAT